ATTTAGATAAAACTTATGATTATCTTTAAAATTGCTCAATCAATTATTTAGCAAAAACAAAAAGAGAAAATAGAATTTCAACAAATATTCAAAGAATTATTCGTAGCTGAAAATATTTGTTTGAATGTGATGAAGAAAATTTATTTATAGAATTTCTTATAATATGATCTTGTAATTTCTAAGCAGCATTTTAAATGATAGACAAAAACATCTACTAGGGTGTGGGTGTGTGGGGGTGGGTGTGGGTGGATGTGGGTGTGGGTGTGGGTGTGCATGTGAATAAAGAATGAATCAAGACGACACCCACACCCACACCCTCACACCCACACCCACCCACACCCCACACCCGGACACACACCCACACCCAACCTCGAGGAATGTTGGGAATGGCTGGATCAGAATCCGTTAACAAATACAATTATACAATTCTCACAGGTAGACATTGATAGGTTAGAATAATTCCCAGAAACGTTTTGATGTCGTAGGTGGATTCTATATACCCCCTCTCCCTCATGATTCATTCTTCGATCAGGATCAAAACACATCGTTGTTAAGCTGCATCTACTTTGTCTTCTCTATGATGAAGCCATGTTCTGCTCGTGTTTATCAAGTGGTTATTGGTCTAGGTACTGTGTTCTCTTTATTCAAATGTGTGTTCCTTTTTCTTTTATTCTTTTATTTTGCTGTTGATACTTTTTCTTATGTTTTTTTGCATGCTCGCACGTTTACTTCTTGTTGTGCTATCACTTTCTTGTATTTGATTATTTTAATTCCTTTGTCATTCTGTTGCTCATCCATCTATATTTATTTGTCTTTATCTATTTTTGTTTTTTTTCTTCTTTCTTCTCTCTTTGTTACACCCCTCTTTCTTTTTCTCTTTTTTTATCTACACTCTGATGTACCTAAGGTAACTTCTCTTAGTACTGTTAGGCCCTCTCAGGCACAGGTCCCCTCAACTGCTTAAATAAAAAAAAATAATTGCCCCTTTTGAATTTATTTTTAAATGTCATTACTCTTGATTCTTGCTTTCTCCTTTTTGCTTATGAATTGTAATGCAGAGCCCTGACGAGTATTTCATTATTTAAATAAATAACACGAAATGCGTTGGCAAAAATTAACTCCACATTTATTTAAAAAATTCTATTTCAAGCACATCTATTAAATATTTTACATTCGACAGAGAATCGATTGCTGAAAAGCAAAGTTTGAGACTAACAGATTGATTTGTGTTCTAGAAATATAAGTTGATCTGTTTCACACCGATTCTGACCTGGACATCTTTGAATTAAGGTACCTAATAGTCCCCTATATAGACAAAATCCACTTAGGTTTCATTGTATAATGCAACTGTAGGTCGATGATCACATATTACCAATAAGTTTATGAAAAAAGAATGACGAAGCATCTTATTGAAACCGATATCTTTTGATGCATTTTTTTAAAATGACTCGAGTAATCTCTTTTAATTATATTTGATCGAAAAATCAGTAAGGATCGATGGCTCTACCAAAAAAGTCAATGAAAATCAGTTATCATACAGAAAACATTTTGAAAATCCACGAGATTATAAAAAGAAGTTCGTACTTTTACTCTATTGAAGTTATTTGAGAACTAAAGAATCGTAATAATTGATAACGGGCTTAATCATCGTCTAAGCGAACTTCATTTTCTAGGATTAGAACCCAGCTGAAACATGACAAATGAAAGTTAAGTGATTGCCACTCTAATCATTTGAAATTGATTACATTTAAAATTTTGACTTCTATCGGATGTAACCTGTCATATAAATCAATTTCTTGAAATCATAAAAAATGATCACAACCTAATTTTAGATCTCATTTTTAGATTGCACGAAACAAAAGATATCTACGAAACCATGAAAATTTTTAATATAGTGCTGTTACTAGTATATAACTACGAGAATATTCCAGGATTTTAAAACCAGTAGCGTCTCGACAAGTAAACAACTAAACATATTTTCTTGAACTAGTCTCTAGTTTTGTGTCTGACCAATACTTATTGATCAGAACATTCTTTTTTTGGTGGTCGGCAAATATCTATTGTATTTATCTGTACACAGATACGTAGAATCTTCAGTCAGTGCTTTCGATTATAATTATTCCCAATGCAAACAAATCAAATCAATTATGCCGAATATGTCTAAAGGTTAAGTTATAATTTTCAAAAGCTGCGAGAAATCATTACTGAACGAATTATTTTGGACATATCAGTTGATCTGAACTTGTTTGTTGAACAATAATGAGAGACAGCACATACTTATAGAGACATGTAATTCTAAAATGACGATATTATTGCTTCCTGAAAGGGCATAAGATATAATAAAAATCTTAATTTATTGTAAATTTAACGCAGAAATAAATTAAATTTCATATAGATCGACAGGAAAATATGATCGCTATCTGGCGGTATGTAACGTATTTTGACTCTGAGTGTTAGAGCAATGAGTGTGAACGAGAAACGAACACAAAATAGAAGAAGACTAACAAAAAGAAACTCGGCAAAGACCATGATTGAAACCAGTATAGAAACCACAAAAGACGAAAAATACGTCTAGACGATTAAAGAATGCAAAAAAATGTGTGAAATGAACATGTAGTCCAAGACGCATGCTGTTTTGAGTTATTCTTGTTTCCTAAAGAAATTTCGGAATCAGTAAAGTCATAAAGTGACCTGAACACTTCTTGAATGTAATTTATACGTGTTAGTCCCATCTAGTACTGTGCTGAAAAACTTCTCTAACTGTCAATGGATGGCACGGGAACTGACAATGTACATTTCAGTAACAACCTATCTTCATTTTCTTGAACAGAGGTTCTCAAAGGTTCAACGATTTCCCTTTTACCAATTTTTTCATCATCATTTTGCTGTAGGATTTTTTTTTTTGTATACTATACTTGTCCATCTGATGATGCTATACTTTCTATATACATAATGTAAGCATGATACGGATACTAGCTTTGCGCTGATCAAATTAATGGGAAACTTAATACTTTGTTATTCAAATATTATACACCTGTGGAAGATTTATGCCCTAATCCGAAATTGATTGATAGGATCGCTTCAACGCACATCTATAAAATGCAATCGGAATTTATCATTTATTCTGCATTGTAGCACCACAAACTTCAATGATAAGAATGATTCATTATGTTATTCTTCTATTGCTCAGCGCTCTGTTATCAGTTACAAAGTGTGAACCGTCAAAAGATTTTGCTAGCATGATTTTTTATCTCACCAGTCGCCATCCAAGTGATTACAATCACTATGGATGCTGGTAAGTGTGAAAAGTCAAAAATGTTTCCTTACGTGACTATTTATATTTAGGTGTAGTACTGGTGCTTCAAAAGATATTCACAGCATAACTATTGATGAAACAGATTCTTGTTGTAAAATGCAACTGGCATGCTATGACAGGATACAAAGAATGAATGTATCCTTCATGACTGATTGGAAATACCGTGCGGTTTATTACGATAATCAAGTTCAATGTGTTGACATTGATGGAAGTCCAAATCACGATTTGTGTTTGTGTGACAAACGCGCCGCTGAATGTTTCAGAGAAGCGCTCTCCACATACAATTATGATAAAAAAGATATGAGTTTATCATCAGCTTGTCAACCAACAGGTTAGTAGAAATGTATGTTTTGTGTCGAAAAATTTGGATCATTGAAAGAATTAGCAATGCTAAATGGATTAGTCTGAATATGATTCAATTAGTTAATGAATGAGCGTTGATGCTTTCAGCCCAAAGCTTATGAAAATGGACTAAGCTCTAATAACGAACGCTTTTGGAAGATAGTCACTTGCGAAGCTAAATAGTTTTAACATTTTCTAGTTTCAATCCCAGCTTCAGACAGGCTTAGTAACCATCAGATAGCTATATGTTAAATCTGGAAGCTTTTCCAGACAGGAATGTATTTTCGATGGCGTCCAGTTAAATAGACTGATTTTCAATAGCATAAAAAAATTTGCATTGGACATGATTAACGTTACGAATAAGTTTTTACATCAGATAATTCAATACAAACACATAGGTACGCTACAGAGGACTGAGTCGAAAGTTTTTGGACACTATCCTTGTTCATTTTTTGCTCACATGAAACAAAGTGCTGTCGTCTCATGAAGAATGAATCTCGCAGTAATTCGGTAAAATCTTTTTCAAATATCATTGCTTGATTTCTTCGTTTTTAAAATTAGTATTTGTGCAGTGCTTTAATAGGCTGCATGTAACGAGCTTGTCTAAAACTTAAGTGTAAACGGATATGCCGCGGCCGTTGTTGCGTCTCGTAATAGTTAATTTTCACACAATTATTTTTATTTTATTTTACGCAATCCTTTGTTTCATACAAAAAAAACTAAATAAGCCATGTTCTAGCCCATAAAAATCCGTAACGGTTCAAGAACAGCTAATTCAAGTCTTCACTTTAGAGCTTCGATGCATACGAAAGTTTTTTGTTTTCGGCGATTTAAATTCTTTATATCCACTTTTGCAGCTTATATCCTAGCTCTGGCATATTTGAGCCATGGTGTAACTATTGAAGGTTAAAGTTTTTGTTAAGTAAAAAATGTTTTACTCATTTCGAACTCCCAAATGGTATGAAGATCATTCTTCAAAACCCAATTCTCAGAAAGTGTTGATTTAAATAGTGAGAAAACTGCACTTCTCTATTCCCCACAAGCAATGATACATAGATGGTATGATGTCATGATATTTTTTGAGCCATGGTATTATAAACTTTTTGACAACATAGTTTCGGAATTTTTGGATCATCGAATTTCGGAATTTGGAGTCGCACACTGCTCGGTTTTCAAGAGATATTGGGTTTTTGATACAAACATATTTGAGATCCCTCTAACCAAAATGTTCATTTCTCTCTTTTTCACGCTGCTGGTGTGGGTGTATGTATAGGTATGTGATGTGAGATGATGACAAAGAAGCGATAGCCACACCGACGTCACACTCGCATCCCACACACACACCCTAATGGAATACATGAAACAGAAGAAACAAAATGAAAGAAAAAAATATCTACCAATAACTATTCGATAGACCATTTTTCATTTTGACTGTTGCTGGAGAGGGCAAAAATGCAGCATCGATTTCTTCTACAAATATTTACATTTTTGCTGACAAGAATTCATTTCTACTAGAGCTTCTCTTAGGGATAAAAAAGTGCTATGATGGACATCTCCTTAAGTCTTTTCGACTTCTGCTTATGAAGATAGAAATGGATGATGGATTTCATCCTGACGCGTGTTATATTTCCTCTGGTGTGAATGATTTGATATAAGGGATGTTGTTTTTTAAAAATCGTTTTTTATTGAAAGGGAACAGTTTGCCGTTCCTGAGAGATATTGTCCCGCTCTCGTAGGGAAATGGGTGGAGAGGAATGAGAATCGGATCGGTTTGAACCAGACCCTCAAAATAGTTTCCGAGCTCCCTGAAGTTGAATGATCCAAGAAAAACACTTTATAGAAGAACACAAAAGAATCTTGCTACATTAAAAACTATATTCTTTTTTTTTATCGTTAAAGTTACTGGTACTAGTTTCCGTTGGGAACCAGCCGGAATTACAGTAGCTGGCACCACTGGGGTGGCGGGTGTTTCCCAAGATCTATTGAATCTTCCTTACACTTTGGCATTCGATTCGACCAATTCACTATATATCTGTGATCACTTTAATAGCCGAATTCAAAAATGGGTTCTGGGCGCTTCAAATGGTACCACGGTTGCTGGCCAACCAAATGGAGCACTTGGTTCGAGTGCTGCCCATTTATATCGTCCTGCCGGGATTGCCTTAGACTCGAATGGAAATGTACTCGTGGGTGATACCTATAATCATCGTGTTCAAATGTGGCAGCAAGGCGCATCATCGGGTACCACGATAGCTGGAGCAACAGGTATGGAAATTCAAGAGAACTTCTGAATATAATAGGCAGATTAAATTCGTCTTAAGACGAAAGCTTTTCCACGAAAGCTGGAAATGGATTTCTAATATCATATATTCTGCTTCGGCTTACGAACTAATATTTTAGTAAAAACAAACTGCGGATTGTATGAATTTCTTCACTATTGGTGAATGTTCGACTAATACTATATTGAATAACATCGCTCTTGCTTCATCAGTGTAAGGAAACACGAAGAAGAAAGAAAGATAGTATAGTTTACTAAGGCGAAAGCATGATTGATCGTAACAAAAGGAAAATAGTGTCACTTGGGATTGGTATTGTTTTAGGCGCGAAAATGTCTTTAATGATTGGTTACAATGACCAAAGCACTTGTTTATTCATAGCACTGGAAATGGGTATAATTTGGTAATCACATGCCACGAGAGGGTGTGGGTGTGCGTGTGCGTGTGGTAAACAGAAGAGCTACAACCATACGCAGACTAACACCCACACCTTTACATGTAGAGCATGTTGGTGACATGTGTTTACAAGAAAATCGCTTCGAATCAATGAAACGTGAAACAACGTAACTTTTCTGTAAACAGGCAGCAACAAAAAGAGCGACAAGAGACTTTAAAGGGAAAAGAAGAAATAACACGAAACATATGTTGGCTAAAAACAAATTTAGCAAAAAAAACGATACAAATGATAGAATCGTGCTGGCACCATCATGAACTGCAATCAGATTCGTGCCCATGGAGATGAGTGGCGGTGGAATGTGGATTTTTGTGTACAGAAGACTTACCCCTATACCACACCTTCAACCTCATTCACCCATGTAAATACTGAAACAAACGAAGTAGTTAGAGAAAACTGCTTAGCTGATATGTCTTTGGCAATGTTGACTTTCGCCATTTTACTTTTCTTCACTCTGTCTCTTAGGTATTTGTACAGCGAGCTAGTAGAAAATATCTATCGCTACTCCAGATAATAATATTCATGGAACCACTTTATTAGTACAGTCATGTCTGTATTAGAGCTGCAAGTGGTAGGCTTTTCTCCTTACGAGCATTGATACCGATCTAAATAATTGTGATCTGATCAGTCGGTCTAGTAACAAGAGTCGTTTTTCACTTTTATCATCTCATAAAAATCAAATTAATCTCTAGATTACTTATACTTATCTTCAGACATCTCTCGTGTTGTAAAACTTTCTGAACACCTACGGTTGTACATGTTTCTTCTGAGCCATAATTAAACCGATTATATTGAAATGATTTTATGCAGGTAGTTTTGGCTTGCCAAATGACCGACTGTATAATCCGTTTGGCATTGCACGTGATCCAAGAACTGGTGCACTTTATATTGCTGATCGTGAAAACCATCGTGTGATGAGCTATTTACCTGGCTCATCGTCAGGTACCGTTGTTGCTGGTGGGAATGGACCTGGTGTGAAGAATACGCAGCTCTACCTGCCTATTGCTGTTCGTTTTGATATGTCAACAGAAAGCCTTGTGATTCTCAACTACGGAGCAAACAATATAGTGCGTTGGAAATTGGGAGAAAGTAATGGGACACATGTTGCTGGAAATATACACGGTGGCTCTGGAGTAACATCAATGCATCTCAACGGTCCTGTCGATATGGTTCTTGATCATTGGGGCAACATTTATGTAGCAGATACCAACAATCACCGTATACAATTTTTCAAAGCTGGAGAAACAAACGGAACAACTCTTGCTGGTATTACGGGCGCAATCGGTAATGTTCCGACACAACTTAACTCTCCATATGGGTTGGCTCTAGACAAGGACCTCAATTTATACGTGTCAGACGCATTTAATCATCGAGTTCTAAAATTTTTGCGCTACTGAAATGAACTTGAGATATTGGTTCAGCAATAAAGAGCTTCGTAAGAATGATAATTCAGGGTGCGGGTGTGGGGTGTGTGGGTGTGGGTATGGGCGTGGGTGGGTGTGGGCGTGGGTGGGTGTGGGTGTGGGTGTGGATGTGAGGTGTGGGTGTGGGTGTAGGTGTAGATGATAGGAATGGTCACACCCACACCCACACCCGAATCTATTTCGTTAATATATTATCATCAATAATTAAAATCCAGAATTTGATAATATTTATTCTGATTTATTTTAAAACAAAAATATTTTCCAAAAAATAATCGAAGAGAATAATAAATTTAGAAATGGTAAATAAAATAAATATATTTACTTCTTTAGTTATAATTGACTAGAAAAAAAATAATAAATTGATCTATTTTAGAATTTCAAACAAAAATATTTAACTAATGAAGAAGTTTTTTAAAGTTAAAATAATATTTAAAGATCGTTCTATATCACATTAACAAAAAGTCTACTGAGAATTTATACTTGATATTTATTAATAATTGTCTTTTACTTCTAATTATCGTTTGAATTATTCTTTAAATAAATAGATTCTTCAATGATTTTATTTTTCGATTCATATTTAAATATTTTGAATAAAAATTCATTTTCATTTTTTTGGATAACCAAATATATATCTTAAATTCGAATGGAATTTGCAATGTATTTCTATTTTTAATTTTATTTTTACTTAAAAAAAAAGGAATAAATATAAATAAATTGATTAAAATACTTTTTAAAATAAAATTGTTTTTATCTATGTTAAATGTTTGAGTAAGATCGACTAAATAATATCTGTATATTTTCATTATTGATTTAAGATTTGTTTTTTATATTTCGATAGTTAAAGTAACATTTCACGAAAATAAAATATGAATAGATTATGTTTTTCTTATTTTATACAAACAATATTTAAAATATCGTCAATATTAACTTACGAAAAAAAAATTTCATTCGAATTTAAATTCAACGCAGAGAATAAACTAAATAACATTTTCGAGATAAGGAATTTTCGAATAATAAAATGTTGTTGGTTTTTTTTCTTTTAATCATATAAAGGTCAAACAGTAGAATATAGGTAGTTTTAACTTGAATATATCGAATAAAATATTGATATTGAATATCTATTATATGTTCGTCATTCCCTATTAATCATTGATTGAGTGCATCCTATAATTATCATTCATATTAAGATCAATAAGCTCTTTTATAATCATAAGAATAATTACCTGCAATTTACGGTTTATTTATAGTTATTACAATAAAACTTCTACTGAAATATTCATATTTGAGTATAAAGTTTAAAGTCTTATGTATGAAGTAACAAAATATGCGTAACAAAAATAAAAAAAATAAATAAATAGTTGATTAATAATTATTATTATCTTAATTATCTGTATTTGTGTTTAATTGTTATCTTTAGATATTTGTTTGACCTTTTAACTAAAAATAAAACAATTAAAGAGAAAGATGTTGAAATAAAAGATAAGACTTCCAATAGAATAAAAAAAAAAACAAACAGCAACTAATCAGAGTTTATTCAGTATTATTATTATTATTCTTCGTCTTAGAAATTTCTATGAGTATAAATAGATAATTGATTTTATTTAACAGTTTAGTTTAAATAAAAGAAAAAGAAAAACTTTTGATAATGTCATATGAAATAAATGTCGAAAATATATCATCAAATGATGTTGAACATGGAACAAGAAATAATGAAAATGTTCAAGTATCATCATCAATAAGTTATGATGCAAAAGAAACAGTGAGTTTAAATGATTATTCGAATAAATTTTCTCAATTAATGAATCGTTTATCAATAACACATTCACAAATTGATCAATATACACAAACAAGAACACATCAAATATCTGTCGAAACAGAAAAAATAATTAAAAAAATTTTAGAAGAAACAGAATTAAAACAAAAAGAACTTTTATACGAAGCTCAAAATCAATCTCAACTATTTCAAGAACAATATCAATATGATTTACAAACAAAAATTAATCAATTAAATGAAGAAAAAGCACAAAAATTAGCTGATTTAGAACACAATTTAAATAATCAACAAGAATTTATTTTAACCAATGCAAGAAATCAAATTGATTTATTAATAACAGAAGCAAATAAAGTTTGTTCACATTTTAATTCAATTTTATTTTTCATTTCTTGTTGTTTTTTATTTTTTAAAGCTTAAAATGAATATTCTTGAACAAACACAAGAAATAACAAATGCTCAATTAGGAAAACTAACCGAAGAAATTGTTCAAATTGGAAAACAAGATTCAGAAAATCGTTTAGCATCAACAACAACAACTGTTATTGCAACACAAGCTATTGCACAACAACAAATTGAATCTACCATCAATCAACAAATATAACTTATTCTTCACTTTCTTTTTTTTAATCAAGCTTTTAAGAATTTTACTTGTTTTTTTTTTTTGTATTTCATTTACATAGAAATAAATCAGCCAGATTTTTATTTTCAATTATATATCTATCTTATTTATCTTTATTTGATTTTTATTATTATTTACTTAGAAAATATAATCGATTAGTTTTTAAATGTATATATATTATTATTAAATTTTTATTTTAATTAGAATTTTTCTATATATATGATTATCTTTATTGAAAATAATATTCATCTCTATTATATATATATATAGAATTTATTCAAAAAATAACGTCGAAAAATTGATGATGGCAAAATGAATATCATATTCAATATTTTTCTCTCGATAAAAATCCTAGATGAATGACATATTTATATTAGGATATTTGATTTTAGTTATGATATTCACTAATGATCTAGAATCGAATTAGTCTTTAAAGATTATTTTAGCTTTCAATCAAATGATATTGTCTATCTTCTGAGCAAATATATTTATATTTCTCTTTTAGAATAAAAACATTTAACTTCTACTGATTATTATAATTTTCACTCAATTAACAAAATGACAATAATATTTTAATAATTATTTTAATCATTTTCATAGTTTAACAGACAGAAAAAAAGTTTGAGTTTTTTTGTTTTCGAATTTTCATAGAGTTACCAAACAAAATTTAAAAAAAAATACATAAGATATTTATAATTATAATCTTCATGTTGAAATTTATCTTTACTTCAACTCCAAATCGACTATTAAATTCTAATAGATATCCTCTTTTGAATAGTTCAACACTATCTTATTCAAAGTTTTATATTCTTCAATAGTTAAAATAATTATTATTTTCATACTAATTATCTTTCTTTTGTTTCTTTTTTTTTTTTTATAAATTCAATTGTGATTTACTTTTATTTAGAAAAATTTTTAAAATATAATATTCTATTATTATTATTATAAAATACGCTTTTGAACTCGCTTTAAAAGTGGACAAAAAAAAAGTGTTATAAATATAAAGAGTCTTCTATCGTACCCTGATTCATAGGACAAAGTACAAAAATATTCTCCTCTATAATAATCTATGTTAGTCATCTATTATTGAATAACACTGACATATTTACTTATAACAGTTGTTATATTTGCTAATAAAAGTATTCAATGAAAAGTTATATTTATTTATAGAAACAAGAAAAAAAACTGAGATGTTGATTATAATTGATAATATCTATTTTAAAAATAAATTTAGAGAAAATAAAGATGATATATTTTATCTGAATGTATAAAGAATTAAATAATAAGTTGAAATAATAATCCATGGAAGTGATACAAGAATTCCACCGGATAATGTATAACTTGAACTAAAATTAAAAAAAAACAAATAATTTTATTTAAATAAGAAAAGAAAAATGATTCATACTGTAAACTTGAATATGTATATCGACAATTTTTAATAATAAGAAACCAATTAAAATACATATCTGGTGTACAAATTGTTGTTAAACATAAATGAAGTGTATAAATATAGAAAAAAATATTTGTTAAAAGATATTTTATCATTAAGACATTAATATTTAAATCAAATTCTTCTTTTCTTTTTCCAAATGGTAAACTAAATATTTTTCTTTTCTTTTCTTATATTGTTATATAATAAAATTTCTCTTACCAATTTCTATATGATTTATTTGTTAATAAACTTAATTTTCTATTATAATAAGTAATAAAAAAACTAAAAAAAAAGACAATAGCTGTTTCCCATGGAAGAATTTCAGCATATGATAATGTAAATATAATATAATGAAATAAAACATATATTATTGATGATATATAATCAATTGAAATTTTTTCATTCTCTTCCATTTCTTTTAATATAATATATATATTAATAATCAATGATATAATAAGATATATCCAATTTATTGATGATATTAATGTTAATAATAATTTAACAAATAAATATTTTATTAATATATATATAAATGAACTTTTTTTTTCAATCATTTTATCTATAACTACTTGAAAAAAAACAACAACAACAACAAGAAACAATTGATAATTTTTTTCTTATATGAACAAGTGATTAATCACTGTTTAACAATTTTATTTTTCAAATTATAAATAATTATAGAACTAAAAGTTTATTTTAAATCTAAATAATCAATTAATATATAATTAAGGAGAATAAGAAAAAAAAAACACTCGATAGAATATATCTTATTTAACCTTTTATAATTACAATATCAATTTACTCTACACAAATTAACTGTTCAACTAAAACTTATTTCATATATATATATACATAAGTAAAAAAAAAAAAGAAAAAGCAAATTATATATCCTGAGGAAAAAAAAAGACGGCAAAAAAATGAATATTATTGTTCATCAATTAATGGTTCTACAACTAATAAATCCATTCGTGATGTATTTTTATCTTTAAATGATGATGCAATAAATAAAGCAGCTTCTCGATGTGATAAACCTTTCATTGAAAATCCATTTAAACCAACAATAACATGACCAACACGAAGACCACTTGAAACATATGCACAACCATCAGGCTGAATTTAAAATCATATATATATATAGAAATTTATCAATTCGAAGAATTAATCTATAGGATAATGAGCAACAATTTGTTCTCACGAGGGAAGGTCACCAACTGTTCAATCGCTTTTTAGTCGGAACTATGTGCATCATGTAGGTCCTAATGAGCTATGAATACCCTGAAAAGAGTTCGGGCGGCTAGCTTATTATTGTCGAGATACTGCATTTTTATGGTATTTTTAACTAAGCACAATGCCGTAGTCCCCCTCAGGAACCAGAAAAACTGAGTTTCGAGTTTTGACTTGAAACTTTGTACAGAAACAGACCTTAGTGAGAGTAGTTTATTGTGAAAGTTTCAGGCCTTTTGGTTGTTCCTATCCTAAGATACAGCTAAAAAGGGTGTTTTTATACTGCTCGGATACCCTCGGCAGGTTCCGATGTGCTTATTTCAGAATAGGAGCAACCAAAAGATCTGAAACTTTCAAAATAAGCCACTCTCATTGAGGTCTGTTTCTGTGCCAAACTTCAAGTCAAAATTCAAAACTCAGTTTTTTTGGTGCTCTTGAGGGGGATCACGGTGTTCTGCTTAACAATATCGTAAAAATGCAGTATCTCGACAGTAATGGGCTAGCCGCCCGAACTCTTTTCAGGGTATTCATAGCTCATTAGGACCTACATGATGCACATAGTTCTGACTCAAAAGCGATTGAACAGTTGGTGACCTTCTCTCGTAAGTTTTTTTTTTTTATTCTTTAAATAAAAGTTTCGATCTAAGATTATATGACATTCATTTATTTAATAAAATAAGATAAAACTAACTAATTTTCAGGGATAATGACATATTATATCCTACCTCTAACAATATTTTATCCATTATAAAAGAACTAAAAATGAAATAATGTTATTTCTAATCAGTTTAAATCGACGTTTTTTTTTTTTGTTTTCTATTGACAATGATTCCCCCACTCTTGTTCTCTATTTAAATATTTGGGTTTCATCCATTGAAAGAAATTGAAAAAAAAAACAACGTTAATTTCATCAAGATTTAAATAAATAGTATTTGTTCATAATAACTGATTGAGAAATAAATTTTCTGATTAAGATCTTTATCTTATTTTTTTAGTGATTATAAATTTTCATATAATTGTCAATTTCAAGATTTAATAAGTGCTGAATATAATCATATCTATTTTCGAAATATTTAATATTATATGTCAAGAATGGAAAAAGTCTCGTCTAATATATTTATTTAAATAAAATTGAATAAAAACCTGCATATAAACAATTCTTGGTAATGGAATTCGATCTTGAAAACCACCTTCAATAGCTACACCTAATGTTGAACGAACTTTATGAATTGTTATTGGATAAGGTGATGAATAATCCTATTGAACAACAATTTCAATTTTTTGTTTTTTTTTATTTCTTAAAAAAATATTTTATTTACTTTGAGAAAATTTTCAATTATATTTATTTGTTCATTTGTTAAATGAGTTCGAGATTTATTTAATGGTAAATATTGTTCTTGTTTATTAACATTATGAAGACTTTTTGTTTTTCTTAATGAATTAATATTATCAGATAAAGAATTTATTAAAAGATTTTTATTTTCAATTGAAGATTTTTTTTTAATTCTTGATAATGAATATTCATCAAATGGTTCTTTTATTTGTTCATCTAATAATAAAGATTTTGGACGAATTAAACGTTGATCATTTTCAATTGATAAATTTTCAACTGATTTTGACTAAAACAAAAAAAGTAAATTTTTGTTAAGAGATAAAAAATTTCCAAACCATATTAACAATTGGTGAATGAAATGACATTCGTGATGGTGATAACGAATTTTGAACCAAACGTTCATGTGATAACTAGAATTATTAGAAACAATAAACAATAAAATCAACTATTTTTTAATTTTTTTTTTTCTTTTTAGATTTTAAATAAAAACTTTGTTTGTTTTTTTTTAAGATAAGTTAGTTTGTTTTTTTTTTGCTTTTCAGTGAAAAAAGATTTTAAGTTATTTAGTTACACAACATAAAAGCTATATCGGCAAATAAACACAAGAGAGCAATACAAATGCACACACACACACACACACATATATATGTATCATATGTCATCTGACTTTTTTTTTGTTTTTACCTGTTTTATAAGTTTTTTTTTTTTTTACTAGAATGGAATATTATCTTTTTCATATATTATTTTATTGATAAAAACAATAACTAACCTTTAAAGTACTTAAATCATCTTTGATTATATTTATATCAAAACGATCAAGATCAATTGGACGAACAAATTTTCGAATTGATTCAATTATTTCATTCTTAAACAATTAATTTATAAATTAAAGCTAAAAAAACTCTAATAAATAATTTACTCTATATTGTTGATATTGTTTATTTAATATATATAAAATAGGTTTAATTAATTGATCAATATGAATTTGTTCTTGTTGATATTGATTAATAAGATATTTTATTTTAATTTGATCATTTTTATCAATAATAAATTGAAAAAAATTTATTTTTGAATTAATTAAATTATTTTCATATGTTGATGATAAATCAATTTGTGATTTTGTTTTTTTATTAATTATTCTTGGATATAATCGATCAGATTTTTTAATTGATTTTAAATTAAATTTATTAATATCATCTTTTGGTTTAGGTAATTTATTTATTTGTCTTAAATGAAATGACATTTTATCAATATTTCTTAATAATTGAACAGCATCAGAATGTGTTATATGACGAAAATCAATTCCATTAACAGATAATATTTGATCACCTATTGAAAGACCAGATTGATCACTAAGAGAACCTTTATCAACACCTGATATAAATATTCCAAGACCATATTCAGCACCACCACGTATAACTAAACCAAGACGTTTACCTTTTTCAACTGAAACAGTTACCTATATTTAAAAATAAATATAAACACAAAACAGATTTTTTTTGTTATTTAAATAACTAAACTGTTCTTTCAAAATAAGGTAATTGTGCATTAATTGAAAGATAATTTCCTGGTGGTGGAGATGTTGAACATTGTTGTATTGGATCATACCAATCATATAATGTTGCATCAAGAGCATTTATACGAAGTGTTCGAATAATAATATCAAGTTCAGTTGTTGAATATAAAATCTTAATAAACAAATTTTTTATTCAACAATTTTAATAAGATTTATTTTAAATTTAAATTATTATTTCATTGTTTTTTTTATTTTATTTATTATAATAGTTATTAAATGTTAATTTCTATCATAATATTCAAATAGGATATATTTTGATTTTTCAATATTTATTCTCTTAACTCGAAGAATTGAGAGAGAAACAATCTTATTTAACTATTATAAATAATTCGAAATAAAATTTGTAAGTAGATCAGATAAGTTGATTTTATCATCATCATGATAAATTCTATACATTTTCAATGATTATTAAAACAATTTCTCTTATTTTGAAAAATAAAGCAAATATATTATTTTGCAATTAGTGTCAAATAATACATCTACAAATCATTAATTAAATGTTTTTCTTATCAAATCAAAAGTATATTATTTACTTAATCATTGATAAGAGAAACATATTTATCTTTAAAAAGAAAAAACAATAAACTAATTTAAAAATGTCAATATTATTAAATATTCTTCAAGGACAATATAGAACAAAATCAAATAACAAAACAAAAAAAAAAATCTATATTCAGTGAGAAAACTAATGATTAAATAACTAATGATGGAATGAGGAATTATTTGATAGAATTGTCGAAACGAAAATAAAGAGATTATATATATATCAGAGATGTTCATCGCGGCACTGCCGCGATGGCGGCAGCGGCAGGATTTTTTTGGGGAACATTGAAAAACTGCATGAAATTAATAGAATTTCAGGGTTTACAAATGAAACACCCCTAGACTGAATGAATCTGATGGACTAGTACCAATATCTCTGGTGACATATAGTCGCAGCAGTGAAATTAGAAACACTTTTTTGTAAACCGCCGCGGCAGCGGCGCGACGGCGGCACGTTTATTTTATAATTCATCGCGGCAGCGTCGCGGCAACATTTTTTTATAAACCGTCGCGGCGCGGCAGCTTTTTTTTTCTAAGTCCGCGGCGCGGCAGCGGCAGATTTTCAGCCGCGATGGACATCTCTGATATATATATCAGTATTTGAAAAAGTTTAATAAAAAAAAAGTAAACAAACTTGAAGAGCTTGTGTATAATTAATATTTTGTTGAAATGATATTCCATTAACAGAAATAATTTGATCTCCAGGTCTCATTCCTTGTAAATAAGCTTGTGAAGCCCAAACAACAGAAGCAATTATAATAGGTTGAAAATTATTTCCACCAGTTATTGTAAAATCTAATGTACCATCATTAGATTTAAGATGAATTCGTTTAGTTAAAAGACGACTTGGACCAAAATAATATCTTTCATGAGAAGATAATGATTCCTCTTCTTCTTTTTCTTTTTCTTTTTCTTCTTCTTCTTGTTTTGATGATGATGGAGAAGAATACATTTTATCTACAATTAAACAAAAAAAAAAAAAAAAAGAAAAAAAACATGTATTAAAAAAGAACGAAAGTTGAATATTTCTATTATTATTTTGATGATTTCGTTTTTTTTCTTCCTCTCATAAATTCCATCATAGCTTGAACAAATTCTTCTGTTAACCAACGTTGTTTTAAAGTTTCAACTTCATAATTATTAACACGTTGAAGAATTTCTTTATTCCATTTTTGTATTAATAATTTACTTGTTAAAAGACTTCCTTTAGGTAATGATAATATATGTTGACAAATTTTTTGTTTTTCATCTTCAAATAATTTATCATCAATTACTTTTGTAATTAAACCACGTTGTTGAGCTTCATCAGCTGTTAATTTTCGATCAAATAAAAGAACATCTTTAGCATTAATTGAACCCATTATTAATGGAAATGTAAATGATGAACAACCTTCAGCTGATTGAGCTGTTCGTGTAAATGGTAATGAAAATGTTGCATTTGATGATGAATAAACACCATCAAATAAACCTAATGTTGATACTGATATACCAACTGCTGGACCATTTATAAATGCAATTAAAATTTTTGGAAAATCAATATATTTTCCAATATAAGTTTCTAATAATATTTGACCACGTTCAACTGATTCTTTTAAATTTGTTGTTGATGTCTAATAAGTAAATAATCTAATCGATTTAACATATTTAATAAAAAAAAAACAAAATTTTGAATTTGTTTTTGAAATCAATTTTCTAGTATTTAATCGAATAGAATGTTTTGTGTAGGAAAATAATAAAAAGAATGAACCTTTTTTTTTCTTTAGAAATTAAATCTTAAAAACTAACTAACTTACAGCCATTTTAGCAAAATCGGCTAAATCAGTACCAGCTGAATAAAATTTTCCTTTTCCAGTAAATGAAAGAAGAATTAATTCTTTATCTTGTGCAGCTTGATCAAGAATTTGTATAATACGTTCATACATTGGTTGTGTTATAGCATTATATTTTTCTGGTCTATTAAGAACTATTTCCCAATGTAATGGACTTTTTTTAATTAATTCAATATGTTCTGCTGTTGTTGATTCATCTTTTTCATTTGTTATTTCTTCACTTTTCGATGTTGATTCAATTTGATCTAAAATAAAAACAAATTTTTCTTTTGTTTTATTTATGATTTTTATAGATATAAAATAAAAACAGACTATTTGATGTTGAATTCGAAAGTAATTGTTGAACAGTTAAAATATATTGTTTTTGTGCATCTTGTTGATTCATTTTTCCTAATGAAGACCAAGCTGTCCATTTGGCTCGACCAATAAAATCAGTTAGACCAGGTTTTGCCGTTGAACAAACACCTGATGTTGCTTGTTTATATAAAGCATAAAGTTTTAATTTTGTTTCATTATCAACTTGAATTGATGATGATGATTCTAAACGAGATTTAGCTGTTTCAAAATCCATTGATGAAGATGATTCATTTGATAGATGTCGACGAATTAAATTATTTATTAAAGATAAACGATATATTGACAATGATGTTTTCATATCTGAAACAGTTTTTATTTAGTTATGTTAAGATATTTTCATTTTTAAATTAATATTAAAATTTTTTTCGTTTTTCATATTTTAATATGTAAATTGTTCGATTAATTAAAAATAATCTATTTTAATAAATATATATTTGTTCGTTAAATAGATAAAATCATTTTTTTGTTTTTTTTATTTGATAGAGAAATGATCTATCATATTAATAAAAGTGAAATTAAAGTGAGAAAGATAGTCTATATAAAATATTCATATATAGTATCATGATGATTGACCGTTTTAGTAATTAACAATCATAGGAAATTTACTTTGACAATGAATAAATTAATTTAAATCGATGATTATTTCTTTCAATAGATAATAAATTAAATCTAAACGAAAATTATATTTGTTTCATTTAATAAATATTATTTTTATTTTCATATATTTAAAAAAAAACAGGATTGATCATCGAAAAGAAAACTTAAAAAAAAGAAGTTTGATAGAACTGATTTAGAAAAAAAAAAAAAATTTGATTGAATTTTTTTTTTGAAATAATATAAAAAAATTTTTTATCTTTACTTAAAGAATTGTTAGGAAATAATTATTTTAAACAAAAAAAGTTTCCTTGGAAAAACAAAATGTTATTACTTTAAAATAAATTGTTAATCATTTTGTATAAATAATAAAAAACAAAAGTAAATTGTTTTATTTGTAAGAAAAATATATTCATAAAAATAAATTTAATTATTTCGATTTAACAAAAATAATTTATCTGAAGAAAATAAAAATCTTTTTATTATATTTATATAAATTTTGATTTAATTGAGAAAAACAAAAACAAAAAACTTTGTGTATTTAAATAAAAAATAATTATTTATTTTCAAATAAAAAACATATTTCATTTCAATTATTTCTTCTTTTGTTTTTTTTTTATTATCAATAATAAAATAATTATTTAACGATTAATGAGTAAATCATTCGATTAAATATCAATTTATTTATCGAAATACAAATCATTTTTTAATATAAATCATTTTTATTAGTCCAACAATTTGTTTTTTCTTATCAAGATTTTAAAAAATAAATAAATCAAATATAAAATGATTTATTTCATCTTTTTTTATTTTTCTAACTTAAACCAATATACATAAATCTTTTTCATCAAGATGATAAAACAAAAATTGATCAAAATAAATAAATATATCTATAAATAAATGAAGAAAATATTTGAATATTAATTCATTTGATATTATTTGTCAATGTTTGCTTGAAGATTGACTAAAAGAATTGAATGAATAAACAATAAAATAAGATAACCTTCAAAGTTCAAGGTCCAACAAGAAAAGAAACAGACGAATTGATATATATATATACAGTTTTATTATGATGATAATAAATTATTTCTTTATTTCATTGGTCTTTACTTTTTACTAATGAGAAAAGTAGAAAAAACACAATTAATTATAATGACATCTATCATTTCTATTGAGATTTTTATCGGATGTAACATAATTAATTATATATATATTATATTATCATATAAACATATCATTAGTTAAACAAATTCGAATAAAAATAATATCTCCTATATATTACGTTGATTATTCGTACTAGAAATACAAAATCGTTTGATGTTTTTCCTTTATGACTAAGATTATTTTTCATTAGTCTTCACTATTTTATGTTTATATAACCTAATAATATGTTTGTTTTTATAAACTTTTTCTGAAAATATCATCTTATTATATATCAAATCCAGAATAATGTTAACTTTTTGTTTTTTTTTTTTTTGTTTCGAGGAAAAGAAAAATATCTTAAGAAAAAAAAAACAAGAACAATCAGTTGAAGAAATTTTAGAAAAGGCCAGTAAGGACACTTTTTTTTTCAAACCGTTTCTGTCGATCACGTTAACGAACAAACAAAAAAAAAAATTTTGCACTCACTCCCTGATTAAATACACAATACAAAGTCGATAGAAACATTATATAAATGACAATTTATTCCGTTTGAAAGTATTTGTATTTTGTTTTATTGTAGACGATCGTTGTTACATAAGAAAATCCATATTATTTAAAGTGTCTATTTAAATAAATGTCGTCTGAAGCATTTGTAACATTAGTAACAAATGATGGTTATGCACTTGGAGCTCTTGTTCTTGCACAATCAATTCGTTTGGTTGGAACAAAACGAAATTTAGTTGTTCTTATATCAAATAATTTATCTGATTCATTAAAGTTAGTAATTTTATTTTAGAACAAAATAAATTAAAATAAAATATTATTCTATTAAGAAAAACCTTAGAAAATAATTTTGATGAAGTTATTCTTGTTGAAGAATTGGATTCTAATGATAGTGAACATTTACGTTTATTATCACGTCCAGAACTTGGAATAACATTTACAAAAATAAATTGTTGGCTTTTAGAACAATATTCCAAATGTGTTTTTTTGGATTCGGATTGTATTGTTTTACGTCAAATAGATGATTTATTTGAAAGAGAAGAATTTTCTGCTGCACATGATGCTGGTTGGCCTGATTGTTTTAATTCAGGTGTTTTTGTTTATCGTCCATCAAAAGAAACATTTAGAAAATTAATGTTATTTGCATCAGAAAAAAATGCTTCATTTGATGGTTTGTTTTCATTTTTCATTTTTCTTGTTTCTTTATTTATTTTATTTTATTTAAGGTGGTGATCAAGGTCTTTTAAATGAATTTTTTTCAAATTGGCGTTCATCAGATATATCTCGACATTTACCATTTATTTATAATGTTACATCAAATGCATTTTATTCATATTTACCAGCAGTAACAAAGTAAGGATAAAATTTATTTTTTTAAATAAAATTTATTTTAAAAATTTATTTTATAATAGATTTCGTAATGAAATTCGTATTATTCATTTTGCTGGTAGTTTAAAACCATGGAATTTAACATATAATCCATTAAATGAACAATTATCAGGAAATTTAGATGGACAAAGTGATATTCAAAGAGATTTTCTTCTTTCATGGTGGAGAATAATGTATCAACGAGTTTGGCCACAATTGTCATTATTTAATCAGGTTGAATTTTTATTTATTTATTTATTTGTTTGCTTGTTTGCATGCTATTTTAACCTTGTCCCTTTAGCAAATAGATTCAAATAAGCAATCATCCATTGATAAACAGGTAATGCAATTCGTTTGTTTTTTTCTTCTATATGAGAAGAACAGAACTATTTTAGTTTTTTTTTTCAAAAAAAAAGAAAAATTTCTTTTATTTAATAATTTAATTAAAAATATAAGATTTTGTTTTTTAAATGAAATAAGTCTGTTGATTAACGAAAAAGAAAATATTTTTTTTCCGAATAAATAAAACTATTTTATTGATTAAATTATTTGCTTAATATCCAGCATCTTGTTTGTTTTATTTGAAATGATAGAATATTGCATGTGCTTTCATTTAAAAGAATATATTCATATAACAACCTATAAATATAGAGACGATTCATTAGTTTAGTTTTTTAAAAATCAAACCATTTTTTTTTTGTTATTAAAACGTAAAAATTTACATAAGTTAATCTTTCTTTTGTTTTGTTTTTTTCATATAAAAACAGTAAAAAAAAATGATAAATAATTGATTAATTTAGGATCAATCAATTGGTTCACTTAGTAGTAATATTTTATTGAATAATGAAACAGTTGATATCGGTTCAACAAAACATCGTCGAGCATGGGAAACAGGTCATATTGACTATATTGGTCGAGATTCATATTCACATATTCAAGAACAAATCGAACATAATATAGCTCATCTACCATCACAATATCATCCATCACAACAAAGACAAAAAACACCTGAAAGACAACCAACAAGTATTCTCAAAAAGTCAACTAAAGAAGTGAAAACATCTCTTCCTGAAAATATTCCGTTTGTTTTATTTTTATTTAAAAAAATTTAAAAAAAATAAAATTTATTCTATAAAATAGATCAGAAATTTCTTCAAATATTTCAACACATGAACAACAATCAAATTGGACAGTTAAATCAACAATTGTTACTACTTATACACAAGGTAAATAAATCATATTATATATTTTATCTTTAAATTTTGTTTTATTAAATAAAAATTTTTCTTCTAGGTATAGGAGAGTTCGCTGGACCAACTGTAGTAAGTAAAGTAGTTAGTGAAAGTTCTTCTTCATCATCTGATTATCCTTCAAATATAACATCAAATCAACAAAACACAGGTTAGATATTATTGATATTGAGCTAAATAATAATAATAATAAATTATCTTGTTTTTATTTTAAATCTTGTATAGATTCATCAGGAAATAGTGTAATAGGTGGGTACATTATTGTGTATTTTGCTTTTGTTTCGATTGGTTTGTTTTTGTGCTTGATTGTGCTTGATTTATTGTCTAGCTAAAATGCCAAATAATCACTTTGCTTGGTTTTTTGATAAACTTTTTATTGCAATAACATACATGATCACTTTGTGTTATTTGATGTTTTTCGATGCTGTTCGACACTTCAAAAAGAGTAGTATTACTCACGGTAAGATATTCGATAAAATGCGTTGTTCACCGATGAACTCGATATAGCACAAATGATTCTATTTTGTCTTTTGTTCTTTTTTAATCAGTAACTTTTCCAATAAAAACAATAATTAAATTCATTTCCTAAATTAATCTTTAAAAACATGAATTAAAAATATAAATATTTATTTAATTTATCGTTATTTATAGGAGTTGGATCATCTGTTCAAGGTGCAAGATCATCACCACCATCAACAACAACAAAGGATGATAAACATGTGAACAAATAAACTTGATAAGACATATTCTTTCTAGTCAAATAGACATGAACGAAAGAAAAGTATATCTCCAATATTTCTATTTATTGTTCTAGAAAACAATATGTTATGCTTTTTCTTTTTCTGTGATTCCTTTGATCAAAAGTTCTTCATTAACTTTTTTTATACTTATCTTTTTAATTAGTTCCTACAGTCAGTCATTCAACATTAGTCCTAAAAGTTTATGCATTGATGATTGTTTTTTTTTCCATTTATTTTAATAAACCTTTTAGGATATCTTAGTTAAATTATGCTACATTATGTTACAAAGAAATCTTCTTTTGTTACTAATGATAAATTTAAACTATCGGAAAAATTTTCTTTTGAAAAAACGTAAAGATGTTTCATTATAGTGGATCAAAAATAATTGTCAATCTTCTCAAATTGTGATTAAAGATCGAAAAAGACTATTGTTATGTTGATGTTTTTAGTTAAGTGGTATCCATGAAAAATAAATCTGTTTTAATACGTTCTATATCAAAACAACAAAAGAACTAAATAAAGGATACGCGTTTGTTCTTTGTTCATAGGTGAGCAACAAGACAAAAAGTGAAACAATACATAAGGTTACAATGTGAAGTGTCGATGTAATTCTGAATGTGAACGAAGAGGCAACCATACTCACATCTACACCTTCAATCATTGTACTGAATCTGAGAAATTTCGAGTTTTTCTTGTACCTAATTTTAACATTGATATCAGACCGATGAAATAATTGTTTTGCAATGCAATGAATTCATTCTTTGAATTGAATTCCAGTTAAACTATTACTTTTTAATTTCAATTGTATGACACAATCATGCATATTGAAATCAATATCATCATATCTACTTTGGTATAATTTGACAAAGATGTTCTTCTATCTTGTACACTTATTCCAACGCCTGTCACGTACTAAAACTTGAATCAGTTCAATTGAGCATTTTGATCCTAAATATAAGTGTTAATTCTTTTTTTTTTGAAAGAAACATTGAATAGTCGATATAAATGACATACCGAATAGATTTGTTCAATTTGCGTGTTATTTCTATGGCAAAAGTTTTAGTAAACATAACGTTGTTCAAACCTGAAAAAAAGCTTCTAATATGATTTTCGCTACTCTTGAGGAAAAATCCATCCAGCATTTTGCCAAGTTCTAACAGATAATAGCTGCAACTTGATGAAAGGATCTCGGCAATATCCTTCATTATCCATCTGACACAATATGACCGTAGCGTATTCGGCATCATTTTTAGTTTACTGGTCGACTGAATCATCGTCAGCCTATATGATTCCTAGAATTTGGACTATTCACTAAAATCAAAGTGAAGTTCACCAACTCTAGAGAAAGTCACATTTCACACTTTGGCAAGTTTTCTAGAATGTTTCGAAGTTCAATTAACCCCTGTATACAGCATTTATTGATTTTCAGAAAATCTAGGATCACGTCCTTCAAGGCTTCTTGATTGTTTTACATGAGTATGGAACCAATGGCTTTCATCTGGTAATCATCATATCCTTATATAGGGTGTGTTAAAATGAATGATTTCAAGTAGATCCCACCTATGCATTGAATGACGTAACTTCAAAGAGCGAATTTATCAAAATCGAACGATTACTCCCTAATATTGAAAAGCTGCAGCTAAGCTGGGTGAAGCATGTACTAAGGATGCTACATGAGAGACTAGCGTGTCACGTATCACTGGGCATACATACATGGAAGAGAGACAAGTGTACCGTCCACGAATAAAATGGCATAAATATATTGAATTTCTCTCCTATGAACGTTTGAAATTTCTCGAGAGACCAAAGATGTGATCGCGACATTAAATCGAAAACTATGAAAGTTACTACTGAACTCATCCAATTTCGACCTGAAATAACAAAGAAATGAAAATAGATAAATGAGCAATCGGTAATGAGTGTTAAAATATATTTAAAGAAAGCTTTTACTCCTCTTTCGATGCTTTTATACTGTTTACCGACTAATTAAATCCACAGAACTCTCGAGTATCGAAGTGGTCGATGTGGCTGAAACTCTATCAAGTAACTATAATATATAAACCCATCATGTTCACATTATGATCTTGTGAGGATTAGACTTAAAGTTATTGCATGAAAAACGACAATGAAATATTTCTGTCGACAAGGTTTTCTCTAATCCGTTGGTGATGACTTATGACAAACAGATGGCAAAGTATTAAAAATTGAACGCTTAAGTTTCTTAGCATGACCTTTCATTATTCGATAAAACAAAGACCAGTTTTTTGCAAACAATAACAATGCTTGATGACTTCATGAATCGTCTCTGACGGACTATGTTTGTGACAGATTCTTCATATACATTAAATGTGAACCACCGATAACTCTCGACATATTTTGACGAAGGAAATAATTAAAGACAGTTGCTTTTGCGTCTCTTTTTGACGGTTGTGGATATGTGTATCATGAATTTTGGACAGAATGACTTTAGATATCGACGTAAGATAATTACTTGCATGATCTCGATTAAAAATTTCTCAGATAGGATAATCAAACTGAAATTTAATCAAACATTGAAATTTTAGATGTAGGATTCTCTTGTACATTAATCAGTTCATTTCGGCTTCCGACGCTGCTTCTTCTATAATGTCCTAGATCATAAAGAGAACTTCCAACTTCAAAAGATTAGGCCTCAAATCATTACATATTTTGGAAAATAGCCTTGACACAATAATGAAACTTTCACCAAAAATTTTATCTTCGAAAATGTTCTACGAGCTAAAAGAGACGATGTACAGACCTGAAATCCTCAGTACATATACAACTCTATGAATGTTACTTCCACCGAAAATTGCAGACTTATGTTTTTCTAGCTATAAGATATGAAACTCTAAAGTTTTTTAAATTGTGAACTTTTGACCTTACTGGATAATCTATAAAAAAAGCAAGGATCCAATATTTATAGATGAAATTTTTTTTGTCAATAGAACTCATTGATATGTGTACGACCACAAAAGAATTTTAGCTCAATCAATCTAGCCATTCTTAAGATACGGTCTCGTCAAGATCTTCCTTAGTCAAAAGGCTCGTTTTGAAGACTTTTTGTAAAATGTCCATAAATAATTGATAGTTCAATATATTCTAATGAGACTTACGTCAGAAGTTATGAAACTTTTGCAACTATCACGTATATGTTACATGAAGCATGTTAACTATGAATCGGTTGTGGCTTACATGCACTAGCTTTTAGAAACACGAGTGAAAAGACTTTAAGATATAGCTACGAAAAGCATGCAAAAGAAAAAAAACAGTGAAAATTTCTTGTCTTTTATCTTATTTCTAATTTACAATAAGCGAGGAAAAGAGAAAAGCAACTTCATTAGTTATACAGTTCGACAAGAAAGAAAACTGTCTCGGTGATAATATAAGCAGAAAAATGAAAATTACTAATAGTACAGACGGAAGAGTTGAATGTGTGTGTTAATCAAAATGCCTATGCACATAAAAGGAATGTGGTAGAACTACTCTACAACACAACTGAATTGCCTCAAATGTGTCAATCAAAATTATTAACACCAACTATTAAACTTATTCCACAACTGAGAATGGCAGAATTTTGCTGAGCGCATGATTTTTACGATGAATGGCCACATTTCAACTTTGACTTTCGTTTTTATCAGCACTGCCTTGATCAAACATTCAGGATGACCAGCTCGTATACCACAAACATCAAGAGGTGCATTAGTAGCATAGCCAATACGCATGTAGTTATCTGCCAAAGCTCGTGGAACGATTGCAAATATGTCTGAAAGTCCATGATTCTTTCCGTCACAAAAAGTGAGATTTGTACCCCACGAGTCGTTATAACCCGATGGAATGTCATGTACACACTCATAGTACGGATTAATGAGAATACGATCATTCGGTAGCTTGTCAGGTGAAGGTAATGCTTTAGCGAAATACAGATCTGGTCGACTTCGAATGATAAAATTGTATTTAATACCATTCTGTTCTTCTGCCTTTTCGATATGTTCCAAGCAACGCTGCCACTTTGAGTAACCGACGCGGTCATCGATAGCACCAAAATGTTCTCCTACAGGAATCCATTCAAGTTTGCGTGGAGAAAGATATTTCAGCGCAGCATTGTACTTGTCTTGCGGGTTGTATTCAACCAGACTTCCATGGACAGACTCAGCGTCGGTTCGAAGTTCAAGAACAACAAAGAGATCGCCAGCTAGTATATCTAACGCTTGTCGTCTGTAAGCGATGTACACTTCTTCTTTATAGAGCGTTCTAGGAGCACCTGTCATACAATGAGCAAAACGTACTCTTTGGACTTTCGTCACATTAAATGAATAATGTTGGCAATCGGGATGACTTTTGAGTGCGCGTAACAGGAATACTAAGATGATGGTCTGAGCAATAAAAAACACTTTCAACCAACTTATGTGTTCAAAATTATTCTTGAAAAATGCCAATATCTGTAGTTCGGATAGCCTAGACCATTTTGCACATTTCGATCGAATCATTTTCCTAATATCTTCATCATTCGATATCATTGTAAACTATAAAAGTAAGCATAAAATCATCAATAGTGACTCGTCCTAATGAATGCATATCGTGAGGTTTCCTATCACTTTTGAGCTCGCATGTAGGGCATCGAAAAAAGTCGCCTAAATCGCTAAATAGATATTTTCGGTTTCAAAGTGGATAGGTAAGTGATGTGATAAACATTGAAGTGTTACAACAGTACTAGTTTGACTTTGGTTAAAATAAAACCAATAAGTTTTATATTTATGGATGTTTTGGTACAAAATTGACTTTCCTCAGAGCTTGTTGTTAAACACGCTATTGATGTTCGAAGTTATATTTATATATACTTTTTTTCTTTAATCCTTTTGTTGTTTTTCATCGAAGTACGGACAGGACAAGACGATGACACACTAGAAGGAGAGAGCATCCAGCTTTTCTCATCTGTACTACTATCAAAAAACAAAAGAACAAGAAGAATA